ATACAATCCTGTGGAAGACTAAGCACACCTTATGACTCATATAACACCATTAGCAACAATAACTTGAACTTGATTCTTTTCTTTTTCAGCCATTTTGTTGTGGATTTGCGATGTGCCAGGGATCATTGTTGTGTTGCGTGACCCAGTTTTGGCCAAGCTTTAGCTGTCGGACACATGGCCACACATTTGACTCTTTGTTATGTAGTGGAGTTCATGGTCGATGAAATGGCTGCAAGGTGCCCCATCTTCTGGCAGCCCTCTGGCAAAATGCTAACTCTTGGGTTTTTTGCAGTTTCTCTGAGCGTTGTACAATCTTTACTTGGGCGGAATTTGCTGGGATGTCACTTCTGGTAGGACCAGAAACTCTCTGACTGCTACTTCCTCTCAAGGCGTATGGGATCAGTAAGGATGTACTTAGTTTTTCCCAGGAGTGCCCAGAGTATTGAGAAAACGTTCTGTTTCACATGACTGCAATTTAAAATGTTTATAGCAGCTGGTCTTTTAGCTAATTTTTAAACTTTAAACTTTTAAAATATACCAATATATATTTGATGCATGCTCAATCATCCAGGTAAGTAAATCTCTAAAAGTTGATTCTGTTCATCTGGACGCAGCGTTTTGAGGGAGAAACATTTCGTCACTCATCCAAGTGACTTCTTCAGTCTCAGCTGACTGCAGGTATCCCCAATCTTATTGTAAGATGGTGACAGATGTACCCTTAGGCCCCCTCCTCGATTCAGAGATGGTCTTTCCCTTTTCACATAAATGGCCTCCTTGACTCCACGCTCAAACCAGCGTTCCTCCCTGTCCAGGATGTGTACATCCTCATCATTGAAAGAGTGTCCACTGGCCTGTAGGTGTAAAAAGACTGCAGAGTCCTGGCCAGACGAGGTAGCTCTTCTGTGTTGTGCCATCTGCTTCGCCAGAGGTTGTTCGGTTTCCCCGATGTATATATCCTGGCAATCCTCCTGGCACTTAGCAGCGTACACTATGTTACTCTGTTTGTGTCGGGGGATCCGATCCTTGGGGTGGACCAATTTTTGGTGCAGCGTGTTTTGGGGTTTAAAAGCCACAGAGACCTGGTGTTTAGAAAAAATGCATCTCAACTGCTCCGATACTCCTGACACATATGGTATCACTACAGGTTTTCGCTTGGGCAGCGGTTGTCCTTCTCTCCTGGATCGGCTGGAGCTTTCTTTAGGTGCCTTCCCAGCTTTGACAAATGTCCAGCTGGGATAACCACATTTACTCAGGGCCTTCTTGATGTGCTGTTCTTCTGCCTCCCTGGCCGCTGTGTCAGTGGGGATGGTGTTCGCTTTGTGTTGTAGCGTCCTGTTGAAACCCAGTTTGTGCTCCAGTGGATGATGAGAGTCAATAGAGTCACATATCTGAACCAATGGCTTGGTGGTGTTCCAGGGTAGGAAAGCAAAGCCCTCTTTTCCACACCTTCCATGTACAAATTGGCCACGATGGGGGAAACTGAGGAGCCCATGGCACACCCATGTTTCTGACTGTAGAACTGACCCTTGTATGTGAAGTAGGTGGAATGAAGACACAGTTCCAAAAGCAAACACACTTGGTCGATGCTGGGAGTGGTCCTGTTGCTGAGGTTGGGGTCATTCTGTAATCTCTCACGGACTACCTCCAACGCTTCCGTGACTGGGATGCATCTGTGACCATCTTACAATGCTGTGATTGCAGACATTCCCCAACTCTCTGTGAATGGTACTCATGGCCATTGATCAGTGGTCTTTGATCAGTGGTTGTTGATCAATGGTCATGAGAATCTGCATAATTATGAAGAAGGAACTGACCTCCCAGCCCATTGTTCCTTCAGTGGGCTGGTTTCAGTCATTATGCAAATGTACTGTTTATAAGATTGGGGAAACCTGCAGTCAGCTGAGACTGAAGAAGTCACTTGGATGAGTTTCTCCCACTGAAAACGCTACGTCCAGATGAACAGAATCAACTTTTGGAGATACACCAAACAACTTGATTAAATCCAAGTTACTGGGGGTCAGCACAGAGACAAATATTCACACACTCCCACAACCACACTGAATCACCAATTACCAATTAGCATAACACGACCCACAGTGGGACAAAGCTAGAGTATCTAAAGAAATCCACAGAGAAGCATCAACCAGAAGGTTTGAACCGACCCTCTCGTTGTCAAGTGACAGTGCTAACCACAAATGTGCACCAGCATCCACCAGCATGCTACCCTCAATTTTCACACAAATGCTATCTTAGCACATACTCTGCTGAAATGTCATGAAGTTTATATATCTAACAGACTTTTGCTAACTTAAAATGGTCCAACACACACAACAACAGGGTAATAACCAGTGCTTCATTTTACCAACATTATTTATTATTCCCTTGATCAAACTGTTAGCATTCATAAACTCTACTCACATATGTCCCGTTTTTCTGGTTCTCTTTTCCTTGGGGGTTTTTATGCTCACTGTGAATGTTTTCGTGCTCTCTCTTTGACTTTCAGCATCCTCTTAATGTCTTTAAAAGAAGGATTCTGCTTTAGTTAAGTTGATTGGTGTTAATTAGACACAGAGAGGACAGAAAGACATTGAAGGTCAAAACAGAAAGCAAAGAGTAGCAGTCACAGAGCAGGGAATGAGGGAAGGAAGGAAAAGAATGCTCTGCTCACTTAACACTGCTGAACAATGGGGAAAAAAGGTTTCCAGGTCACAAAGAACATCCAAGAAAAACTGAGACACAAGGAAAGGAAAGGAAAGGAAAGGAAAGGAAAGGAAAGGATTAGGCATCTCAGGGCAAATTCAGTCTGTTTCTGTCAGAGCAGCAACAGTCCAGCTGATCAGGGAATCAATATTAGAGTAATTAACTCTATAACATTCCTGCAACCCCAAACACACACTGAGTCCTTAAAACTCCAGGGCTCACCGTGTTAATTATTTTACAGTGTAAACCCAGCACAGACACACACAGACACACACGCACTTACATCACACTGTCATCTATGTGAAAATTAACATCTCCATGACAAAGCGAGAGTGAGACAGGACAACGCTGGACAATTTGGACTGTGTGTGTGTGTGTGTGTGTGTGTGTGTGTGTTGTGTTAGTAACAAGCATGAATATGCTCTATTCTCTCTCTCCTTTAGTCCTGACTTTAAAATTAAACTGAACAGCATTTATATTTAACTACAGTTTTTAAAAATGCTTAAAATTCCATAAATGAATCGGGCTGATTTTCGTCTTCTTGACTTGCTGTGGTGTAGTCCCTGGGCTTTCCTTGAGTTCTTATTCATTACTTGTGTTATTTTGTTAATGAGCCTTCCTTGTGCACTCTCCTATGATCCACTATCATCATGTTTCACTGTTAGTTAACCGTCCTTTAGTTACTTCCTGTTTTACTTAGAGAGTTTGTTTTTTCATGTGTCCTGTTTCTTTTTCTTTTTTTTGTCCGATGCTTGGGTCCTCTCCTCACCACCACTGCCCCAAACTAGTGTATGATATTCATTATTTACTTTTTTCCATGTACAAACTCAATTTGAAAAGTCACTACTGCTTTAAAAGCATTTTCTATTTAACCTAGGTAATATACTGCAACTACTAAAGACTGTCAGGTATCTGCGGTAACACTGATGGGAAGGCAACAGTAACTCAAATAACTACTCGTTACAACCAAGGTGTGCAGAAGAGCATCAGTAAATGCACAACACAATGAGTTCTGAAACAGAAGGGCAGCAGCAGAAGACCACACCTCAGTGCCACTCCTGTCCGCTAAGAACAGAAGACTGAAGCTACAATTCACACAGGCTCAAAACTGAAGATCTGAAAAATGTCGTGCTGCAACGTTTGGATGGTAGGCTCTTAATTTGCCATAAATAAATGAAAGCATGGATTCCCTCTGCCTTGTATCAGCGGTTCAGGCTGCTGGTGGAGTAATGGCACACTTTGAGCCCCTGAAGCATAATGTGTATGTCACAAAGCTCAAATCATTTCAAACTGATTTTTATAACATGACAATCAATTCATTCAAAAAACCTCCACAGTCACCAAATCTCAGTCTGGCACCTTTTTGGAACAATTTTTCATGATAGACGGGCAACTGTGTGATTCTGTCTCTCGATAGGAACATTTCCAGCACCTTGTTGAATCTGTGCTGTGAAGAATTAAGGCAGTTCTGAAAGTGTCTGGTGAGTAAGTGTACACCTCTCTATAATTCTGAAGTACAATACCCGCCTATTTAAATTTTACTTTTACCTCATGAGAGTTAAAAACATTATCCTTTTGCTCACTGCTGCAGTCCCTTTATTGGACTTTTATTGTGTAGGTTGTGCAGTGTTGGTGGGTATTTTACTCAAGTACATTGCACCAGAGGGCAAATGTGAGTTATTGTTATTTCTTTTAATAACTTCTGCCAAAATTCAAAAACAATTTGATTGATTGGTTGATGTAATTAATTTTTCTCAGTTAAAGTGAATAATTTAAAGGTATGACTGTGAAATAAGGCAAGTGAAGGTGTCACCTGAGGACTCTGGGTCATTGAAAGAGATGCGTTTCTCTCCATCTTACAGCATATTTATAATGCAACTCAAAAACAGAAACCTCAGCAACTATCAATGCGTCGGTGATATCAATTTGTGACATGTAACCGAACCATATTGAGTTTGCTTGCAATGAAATGTCCTATATAAATAAAATTGGCATTGCCACACACTCTTAGGGGTCATGTCTCTGCATTTACAATTTCTTTAATATGAGACTTTCAGTGCCCTACATGGTGTAGAGTAAATGAATGTATGCTCAGTCTAATCATTTGGGGCAGTATAAGAGAAACTGGCCAAAAATCTAAATGAGATATATGTAAACGGGAAAACTATTATATTTAAACGCTCGTGCTGCTGCGTGGTTTTCATAAGCTTCATTTATCAAAGGAAAGAAGAGAAAAGCAAAGACACGTGAGCAGGTGAATGAATGGGAGGAAAGAAAGAAGGAGGTGGAAGGTGACTTACCGGAGGACGAGGATGGATGGATAAAGAAAGTAGAGTCCTGCTTGGTTTGAAGCGCACAACTCCGCTTGCGCTGTCAGCTCCGTAACATTCACTGATAATCAATACTGAACCGATCCGAGTCTCCGCTCTGTGAGTGCCCGCGTGCGGTTTAACTGATCGGTCATCGATCGTCCATCCCATTCATCCATCAGGTATCCGGACACTGATCAACTCTGTGGGAGCAGCGGAGTGCCGCGCGCTCTGCGCTGCACTGACCAAAGAGGTAGTGCTGCGCATGCGCCACCATACACATAAACGCATAACCCCACACACAAACGGCAACAGAGAGCAAAAGAGAGAAGCTTAAATACACCCGATGAAAAACAAAACAAAAAAATACACGTGGATGGACTTTAAAGAAGACGGGCCTTTACCTGCCTGCACGTGCGCCCGTTTGAGTGAGTGCGCGTGAAATGCAGCTTCTCCTTGATTTGTTTTCAGCTTTTGTTGAAAAAAAAAAAAGCAGGTGAAATTCATTTAAAAACTGTAAATACTGGCTGCAGAGCGCGGACACACACACACACACACACACACACACACACACACACTTTTGCCAACGGTGCTCAGTGTTTGTTGTCCTCTGTCAGTATTTACTGTCAACTCACCTGACCGTGACGTCAGTATAACGTTCAATTAAAAAACAGAAACGATTTATCCTTTTTTTTAAATCAAAGTTTCATATTCAAAAAGTCACGAGTGTGATAATGGTTGTGTCCTTGTACCTGACCATTTTCATATATCTATATCTATATCTATATAGATATAGATATAGATATAGATATATGTCCTTGGAAGCTTCCTAAAGAAGACCACAGGTGCAGTGCTGTGTAAAGATGCCCCTGAGACAATTCAGCACATAACAGCAGGGTGCAAGGTGCTAGCAGGCAGGGCAAACATAGAATGCCAGCTGGGCGAGTGGCTCCAGCAGGTCCCAGGAAGAAAATCGGAGATCTCTGTCCGGAAGTCCTAGGAACAGCTAAGATACTGTGCAGGACCATTAAGCTCCCAGGCCTCTGGTAGAGGACCCAATCTTGAAGATTAAAGATTGCCCGCAAGGCCGAGAGGTGAATATATATATTTACACTTTTTTTTCATGTTAAGCTACCTAACGCAGATCTATGAATCATTCAAGCATGAAAACCCTACTACCTCAACTGATCAGCCAGTGTTGTATATACACAAAACAGACAACATAGCAAAGAAGCAATTTATATTGTATCATCAGGCACTTTGTTTCTAGCAGTCTGTCATAAAACTTTATAATTTGTTCCCATTTCTTTAGTTGAATCAAAGAAAATCCCAGGGATAATACAGTTTGACCAACAAGAAGATGATTCCCAAAAAGCATATCTCTGTATCGTGTGCATTGTGTCCTTAAAAGAGTTGAGGAAACTGGACAAATGAAGGACAAAATAAGATGTAATACCATGTGGAAAGCACCTGACTAGCTTCATTTTCAGTATGGCAATGTTTCCAAATGCACTGCCAATACAGCAAAAGCATACCTGGATAGAAAAATGCACAAAGGAACATGGATGATGGATTGGCCTCCCCAGTGTATGGACCTCAACATTATTGAAGCAGTGTGGGATCATCTTCCAGAAAACAGAAAAAAAGCAGACAATTTTTGAATATCCTTTAAGAAGCCCGGGGAACTATTGCTGAAGACTACTTAAAGAAATTAGAAGAACGCTTCGCCAAAGCATTTTGTTTGCGTTGAAAATAAACGTGGTCATACCAAATATTAATCTTCTATCTACTAATA